CCGGGCATAGTGCGCATGAAAGCGCTTGCACGCAGCCATCTCTGGTGGCCTGGGCTTGATAAAGCTATCAAAGCCCAGGTGCACAGATGCCAGGTGTGCCAACAATCCCGGCCTGAAATGCCTCAGGCCCCTGTACACAGGTGGGAGAAGACACAAACCCCTTGGTCAAGGGTACATTTAGATTATGCTGGGCCCTTCCAGGGGCAATTCTTCCTTAGCCTTGTGGATAGCCATTCCAAGTGGCTAGAGGTTATACCTGTCTCCTCCACTACTACTGCTAGGACCATCCAGGTGCTAAGAAGAATCTTTGCATCCCATGGCCTTCCGGATCTTCTTGTTTCTGACAATGATCCTCAATTTACTTTCCTTCAGGCCAACTTGATACGGCATGCAACATCAGCTCCCTTCCACCCTTCCACCAACAGACAAGCTGAAAGAATGGTGCGCACCACCAAAGCTGCGCTCAAAAGACTAACGCATGGCAGCTGGCATCACAGGTTAGCAGATTTTCTTCTTGCACACCGCACCACACCTTGCACTGCCACTGGGAAGAGCCCAGCTGAACTCCGCTGGGGCCGCCGCCTCATCATGAAGTTAGACAGATTGCACCCCGACTGGGTGTCTTCCCAGGTGTCACAGCCACAGGCTCCTGGAGACTTCAGGTGGGCGATCCAGTCTGGGCTAGGAACTATGGTCCTGGACATCTCTGGGTTCTTGCTGTCATCTGTAAGATCTCTGGACTTCTATCATACGAAGTGACCTTGGGAGATGGACGCGTCCTGTGGCGCCACATTGATCAACTGTGCTGGAGGTTGTCCCCTGTTGATTCTGCCCCTGCCTCTACTCTCGGGGGGGAGGAGGTCCAGGAACTACGTCACACTTCAGGTCAACCTTCTGAGACACAATCTCACTGTTGCCACAGATCACTAGGGATTTCCCGGGGAGGAGCAATGGCATCCTCACGATTCAGCTATTATGCCGAACAGAGAGTCTGGCGCATCAGCAATTGCTCCCAAGAGGAAGACATCCCAAGGGGTGGCCGGCGAATCTGCAAGAGCTCCAAACAGGAATTCTCCTGAGGAGGGGTTTGCCATAGAGGTGGCTCCTGACTCTGGCACCTCGGCCACAGGGGACTGGGAGTATTGGGGCACACCTGCAATGCAGGTCACATCCAAGACTGGTCACAGGCTCGAGGGACTAAGTTCCCTGGAGCCATCCAGGGAAGTTGGGGAGTCCTCAACCACTCCAGCAGGTTGGGGAACTTCCTCTGCTCTAACAGAGCCTGGGAAGAGCCCTGGCAACTCTGTCAGCATGCCTCACCAGGGGTCACCTGCAAAATTTGTGCATAAAAGTCCTGGTCTAGCGAGCCCACCAGATGGGCCGGTAGGCCAGGAGCCTTTAAATACAAGTCCTGGTCTGCCTAGCCGGGCAGGTGAGCTGACAGGCCAGGCACCCTCCCTGACTTTGCGTAGGTCACAATGGGCTAAGGCCCCTCCTAAGCATCTAGGCAAATATGTGAGGTTCCTGTCAGTACACGGGACCTTACAGGTCTAGGATGAGGAGATGGGACCTATGTTGGGTAGAAGATAGACACATGAAGTCCACATTAACTGGTGGGTTGTTTAACTAACCCTAGTAGTTATAAGAAGGTTGCCTGCATTTGAGCAGGAATATTATTTTCTTTTTTTAATATTATTGTAAAGAAAATGGGAATTGTATGTGTTCTATCCAGGGGAGTGGGGTGTTGTTTCTTGGGCCTGATGAGGAAAGTAAGCAGGCCCAGAAATGTTGCAAATGGTCCCGGGCAACCTAAAAGCTGCCCAGGACCAGACTGGCTGGCGCCAAACTACTATGCATGCACAAGGCGTGAAGAAAGAAGGATTATTATTGGCTGGACTGCCTGGGGGTTGGAAAACTATAAAGGCCTGTGCGCCTGTTTGCTTGTTGCTTGGAGTGGAGTTAAGCAGAAATAAAGAAGTTTGGTTTACAATGTGTCATGCTTCAATGCCTCACATCCCGAAACACAAAAAGGTCCATGATTTTATTATTCATTAACTGAAAGCATTTTATGTTGTCCTTTGGGACTCTACTTTCCAATCTTAGCTTTACTAGGGGCCAACCTCAAGGTTAGTATCATTTCTGGTATAATACATTGCATGTTTTTAGGCAGATGTTAATTCTAAATGCACTAATTCTTAAGTAAGTTCGATTCTGTTCAAGGAAGCATATTCCCCATTAAGTATGTTAGAAACTTCTGGTGAGACTGCCTTCTTGATTATGAAAGGTGTTTTTAGTGAAGTAAGCATCAGCACTCACCTTTAGAATCTGGGAAATAAAAATGAGAGAATTATAATTATAGACTTTCAGATATGGGCATAGAGTGTCATCTCTAGATTAGCAGTGAGGAACTTTACTAAGTAAAAAAAAAAAAACTGCACTCTTCCTTAAATAGCAGCATACACCTAGGAACACAAGTATATACAGTATATTACAGCTGTATTCTTATTGAAAGGAATATAAACGTCCAATGTAGCATTTTCAAGATAGTTATGGATGCAACATTTATTTTCTAATAGCTGTTTTCCACCATTTCTATTAATGCATCCATCTGCTACCCATGACCTTTTTACTTTGGGAAAACCTGAACTGCTTATTAAGCAAATTCCAGGAAAGAGATGTTAAAAGTAAAGGCTACAGATCTGTCCGAACATGGGCATATACAGCAATGAGTTGAGAGGGAATAAACAAGATGTGTGTAATATCACTGTACAAATACAATGGGCTTTGTACATAAAACATTTTGTACTTACATCAGGATGCAAGCACAGCACAGCACTGTTAGCATGATGCTCTTGTTGCACACGAGTCGTCATTTTAACATTATGTAGTTTGGGTGTTTCTATTTTTTAATATTAACAATAGTTAAATATACAAGTTCATAAAATAGGTCATTTCTCATGCTTTTGGGAAAACCAAATGGAGATAGAAATGTAAAATAACAATGAAGCATCATTTCAAGATTCTCTGAGATTTCCATTATTCTGGGTAATGGCTTTGTATCTAGATTTTACACTTAAGTAGTTGTAACTACATGTGCAAAACAGTGTTGAGTGGCAGACCCTGGAGACTTGTTCATTACCTGTCATTAAATCTTTTAAAGCTGGCATAATTGATCCAGCCAATAAGTCATCACTGATTTATAGAGGTCTGTCCCAAAGAATTGCTTGTTAAAAATTCATAACACCAGGATGTGTCTTTACAATCCATTAGCTGTTTATGTATCTACAGTCCTAAAATTGATTGACCTCAGGCTGAAAGTCTCATGGACTTCTTTTATTCTCCCTCTTTTTTCAAACAAGTCCTCAGAATTCAGAAAAGCAATACTTCGGCCTTTCTCTCCAGCTCCACCACCATCAAAACTGAAACTTTCCTCCCAATGATGAATAAATAACGCATATTCCATAAACAGATTTTCACTATTATTTAAGCTCGCGAACTGTGTCCTGTTAGTTTCCCTTTCCCCACCGTAAGATTGAAGTGTGTAAATGTTCTAAAAGGCTTTGAATGTTTTATGATGATTTCAGGGAATGATGGAGTAATCGCTGCAGAGAGAAGCTATTAGTTTTAATATTTATATTGAGTGCTCTGAAACATTAATGTGACAGGATGTAAGATCAGAGCAGCGGGACATATTTACTTCCCAATTGTTGCCATGTGGCAAAAGTATTTATTTTCTCAAGCTCTTTGGGGCTACTTTTAAAGGAAAAGACCAGTATTTGAATTTAGAGATGATACAGCTTTTTACCGTGGGGAGATATTGTCTGATGGACCCTCTTCCTATGGAAGAATGAACTGCATGGGAACAGCTAAATGCTTTGCTGTCCCAAAATTGCAGTTAGTGCAGTCAGCCTGATAGGACGTCTGAGCAATTGTACTTAACTTGCTGCCCTTCAGATAGGACACACTTACTTACCGACTGAGAATTCTGGGAGTAGCTCACTTGCCAGCCTGGTATCAAAAGATAGAACTAGGTATCCTCAGCATATTGGTGATATTGAACCCCAAACTGCAAATGACCTCACTTAACAGATGTTAAGCAGGAGGAGAGAGAACATCACATTCTGGAGCACCCCACATAGGGGAAGCCAGAGGATACTCTATCTCTACCTGCCAACACTAACTGGACATTCATTAAGGAAAGATTAAGAACTGCCATAAAATAGTGCCCCAATTTCCAATTACCACAGACAGATGAGAAGGATAATATAGTTGACAATATCAAAGGCTGCTGAAAAATGAAGAGCACTAGGATGATTGCACCGTCTCTATCCTAGTTCCATCAAATGTCATCAAGAAGATTTGACTAAGGCTGTCTCAGTAGTGAATGAAACTCAACCAAAACGGGTCTTGATAAGCAACTGCAGACTGACCACTTTCTCAACAGACCTTCTCAAAAAGGGAATGTTGGCAACCAAGTGGTACTTTGTCTAAAATCGTTAGGTTCAAGGCCAGCCTCTTGATAAAAGGATGAGCCACCACCTCCTTCAAGACCACAGGCAATACTTCCTTTGTCAACGAGGCTGGCACCATAGCATGGACCCAATTGTAGGTCATCTGGCCATCTTAACAACTCAGGAGATACCCGGCTCCAATAAACAGAGAGTACTGCAATAATAAGCAGAGAGACCTGCAACTTTCAGGTGTCACCAACTCAAACTCATCCCATATCATACCACAAAACTGAGTCCCATGCATCTCAGCCAGATCAGCCTAGTTAAAGTCCAAAGCAAGCTTAGTGAAAGTTTAGAGCAATATGGGCAGCTTTATCAGCCAAAAAGCCCATGTATCCTTCACAGTGCTCTGATGTGATGGCCTGTCTTTCCCCAGTAGGGACCAAGTCATCCTAGAAAGGGCCATGACTGATACAATAAGGATAGAGTATTACTAATGCTTCATCACCCTTATTGGCCTCCAATTACTACCTCAATTTGAGCTCTTACTTGTGTTAGGTGAAACTCATTCCAAATGTTCTTCCAACAGTGTTTCAGGCATCTACTGAAGCAGGAAAGAGGTGTTGTTGTCCTCATCCAGCTCTTGTCCCATCCTAGGAAAGAGTTGCCCTTGTGAGCTAATCAATCTCAGCCCACAGTTGTTCATCGCCTTGAATTGTATATGAAAAAAGACAAGATAAAAATATAATAAATAAATAAAATGAGGGTATCGTTGAAGTTCTGCCCATTTTTCACATGTGGATTTTTGATTTCCCTGTCATGGCCCTGGCACAGACCTTGCCATAGTTCTTCTCAAATAAACTGGCAGTTGGGTGGTATTTAAAAATGGAGGTTTACAAAGCATTGAGGGCAGAGGATATATATTATTCCATAAGAACTGGAGCACCATTAAAACATATTTGGACATATTTCCACACACAGAAGCTCAGTTATCATTTCAATTAATATTTCCATTAGTTGCCATGTTTAAAAAATTACATTCGATTTCCTAACCTCTTCAATGGCCCTTTTCAGCTAATTTCATTTCAGGCTAGAGAGAAAAAACAATTCAAGGATGGCACAATTATCATAATGAAGTAGCTGAGAATACAAAACCTTGATCCACCCAGGATCATCACTTCAATTTTCAAATTTAAAAATACACACCTGCTCCCCTCACCAGCAGAGAGCAGGCCTTTGAATGGCTGAAACAGAGGCAAGGACTCCCTTTTGGATTCAAGGCCCTGCCTTTGAATGTTGTGATAGTGCTGCTGTGCAAAATCTAGCTAAGCCCAGGACAAAAATGTAGCTTAAATTAAACATATATTTTTTTATAATGCTCCCTTCTATTGGATTAATAGAAGGCAGTCTTTGAATGGGATATGGTTTTTTTAGCTGCATTAACAGAGAGATAGAATCAAGATCACGTGAAGTGTTAATACCACTTTACAATGCCTTGGTAAGGCCACACTTGGAATACTGCATCCAGTTTTGGTCACCACGATGTAAAAAAGATGTTGAGACTCTAGAAAGAGTGCAGAGAAGAGCAACAAAGATGATCAGGGGACTGGAGGCTAAAACATATAAAGAATGGTTGCTGGAATTGGGTATGTCTAATTTAATGAAGGACGAGGGGAGACATGATAGCAGTGTTCCAATATCTCAGGGGCTGCCACAAAGAAGAGGGAGTCAAGCATCTGAAGGCAGGACAAGAAGCAACGGATGGAAACTAACCAAAGAGAGAAGCAACCTAGAACCAAGGAGAAATTTCCTGACAGTCAGAATAATTAATCAGTGAAACAACCTGCCTCCAGAAGCAGTGAATGCTCCAACACTGGAAGTTTTTAAGAAGAGACAGAACAGCCATTTGTCTGAAATGATATAGGGTTTCCTGCCTGAGCAGGGGGTTGGACTAGATGACCTCCAAGGTACCTTCCAACTTTATTACTACTACTACTACTACTACTACTACTACTACTACTACTACTATTATTATTATTATTATTATTATTATTATTATTATTATTATTATTATTAGGCTACGTGGAACTTGATGACTCAGAACATAGTACACCTTTGGGGTACAGGTAATATTCTTTCTGTCCCATTTCCTTGTATCTCACTGCTAAAGGCTCTGTGTCTTCAGCCGCACATTTCCTTCGCACAAAAAAAAATAAAAAATCAGCCAACCACTATCTCAGGAGCATCTTTTTCTTGGAAGAAGCAGGAATCATGCTGCATATCTAAGCCACAGATTAGCCTCAAGTTGCTTGGGTGCTGAGCAGATTTAAACAATTTATCACAGATATATTTCCGATGGTCTTCTGGAAGCCAAGTGTGTTGGCAAGGAATAAAAACGAAAGCAAGAAGGAAAAGTGATGCAATTTCAGAGGGCGGATAGTGTGGAACATGAAGCAGCCATATTTGCCTTTTGTGAATATATCACAAGTACGTACGGTTCCATTCTAGATTCCAGTAAGAGGCCATTTCATAATATGGCTGGATTCTCACAGTAAGCCAACCGATCCATTGGACCAGCCAAAAGAGGCAATCAAGAGTAAGAAATCTGAGAAACGTTAAGAAAGGGAAGAGAGAAACTTGAATTTGATGCACTGACTGAATAAACTAAGCTATTATTATAATTATTGAAGAGGCAGAAAGAAATATTCTTGCAGTTCTATTTTTGTTCTTCAGAAATTCTCTATTTTTTACGCGATGCGTTGAGTCTTGAAGAAAGACAGGGTACCCTTAGCTCATGTTATTTTTATCTCACAGATACTGCATTAAACTTGTTGAAGCCCAGGTTCCTGGCATGATATTTGGTGAGAAATCAGGGTTGTGAAACATGTTTATAAAAATAAAGCTCCCTAATTAAAGCTGGCATTTCTAACCCACTTACTGAGTTACAGGAACCTTGAAAGAAAGACGATGCCATTTGGGCTGATAGTTATGGATCATGGTGAAGCTGGAATGAAGCCAGGTAATCTCTGCTATAATGGTGTCATAAATGTGGATTGTTTGAATTGAAAAATGTTGGATTTGGTAGAAATGATGATATTGAGGGACAGGAGCGATTTCTCTCCTCTGCTGTGGTCATATTTTTTGTTGTTGTTTTCAAGTCTGAAGCAGCTGGAAATCCAATTTGTAAATGTGATCAGACGGTTGTGTTTTCTGTTTGTTTAACAAGAAGTCTGAAAAGTTGATTATTTACACAGAGAAATACCTAAAGCGGCTGCTAGTAATATTCTCTAGCAGCAGTATGATATATTTTAATATTGCGTTTATTTATAAATGTTATAATTTGATATTGCCTCATCTGGCTATTGGATGGTCAAGAAACTCTTACCGTAAATGCCGGGGTATAAGACGACTTCCGCGAGCGCTGAAATTGGCGCCAAAGACGGGGGTCGTCTTATACGCCGAGTTGTCTTATACGCCGGAAATACTGATAGTTTCCGGCGTATAAGACGACGTTCTAGGAATGCGGCCCGGCTATAAAGACGGGGGTCGTCTTATACGCCGGGTCGCCTAATACGGCAGCATATACGGTAATTCCTTTTTCTGCAGTTTATGAACCAGGAGAGAAGTTACGTTGCCTTAAAATGCACGAGCTTCACTTTTAACTCCTATTCTGCCCATAGAAGAAGTGGGGAAGGCGATAGATGGGTTGGTAAATACTTTCTTTGGTGCTGGTTACTGGGAATTGGAAGCTCTTGGGTCTTTTGCTATCAATCCTTCAATTCCAGAGATTTGTCACTCCAGGGAATTAGGGAACTGATATTTTAGGAGCCATTCTCTTTTGTTCCCCCTCCCTTCTTCTCCTGCCACTCACAACAAGAAAAGCAGGGGTGGGGCAAGATGGGGTCAAAAAAGATAGGGTCAAAAAAGTCAAGATGGCTTCCGGTTCCAGATTGCGGCATCTCTAGTCGCACGAGAAGACTTGTCTCCTTGTCGGCTAGTTTTCTCTCCACCGGTAGACCCTTATGCGGGTTGAAAGTCGCCCTGGAGGGTGCGACTTCTGTCGACGAGGCTTTGCTCGGCTGCGGAGGAGTGGCAGCTCCTCCAGCTGTCCGAGCTATTTCTGAGGGCTGACGGAGAAGGAAGATTGGCCAGTAAAATGGCCGATCACCCAGCTGCTCCAAACTGCTAGTCAAAGAACATCTAAGCATTGAGAACCACCATGGTGAATCCAGTGAGACTTTTTTTTTTGGCTCCTCTCTTTACTCTATTTTGCTTTTTTTTTTTTTTTTTTTTTGCCTGTAAGAGTTTTGTTGGAACTATTTCCCTGTCTTGAAAAAGCAGCTTCTATATGTTTGGCGTTGAACAAAAGAATAGAATAAAATTTTAGAGACTATATTTTATTTTCATCTGGTTTTGGGGTCCTCAATAGATCAACCCGCATAAGGGTCTACCGGTGGAGAGAAAACTAGATGAACTCTTTCTTAAGAGCTGTACTATTACTTCATGCTTGGAAATTATTTTTTTTTCACATCATATTTTAAAAGATAGAAAAAAGGGAGGGAAATGGTGTCTGGAAAAGATTTTTTAATCTATTGAGGACATCTACTGGCAAAAACCTAATATTGCAACCTCTGGTTATTCTTTGGAGATGGAATAGACCTGACCTTCAAATTTTTTCAAGAGAAAAGATAAACTGATGTAGCAGTGGGAATTGTGGGGGTGGATACTGCTCAACTTTTACTAACTACAGCCTCCACAAAAAAGGAAAAAAGAGACTTTCTTTAATTACTATCAACATGGAGAAAGCTCAGTTACAATTAAACTGCAAACTTATATTGGAAAAGATTTATGAGGCTACTGCAGAAATATGTGTTACAATAAAAAAAGTTTACTACAGAATTAAGAAACAGAGGTTCTACTTCAAACCTTCAAACTGATCTCCAGACTATATCTGAACATTCTACAAATCAAAACTTACTAGAAGAGGAAACCACTGAGATAAAAGAGACTTTACCTTATAAACATGCCATTTATATTTTTGAGGATCAGAAGAACCAAAGATTAAGACTTGAAACCTTAAAGCAATGAAGCTTTAAGGATGAGAGAAACAGAGAGAAACAGAGGCCTAATACAGAGGATGGGAATCCTATCGTTTCAAAGGGCACTGCAAGCAAGAGAGATCTATCAGTTGAAGGGGCAGCTTGGTTATGGAAACCTGCTTGGCATAGAAGGAAGGCCAGAATAAGACTGAAAAGAGACGTTTAAAATGATTTGTAATGGATTAAAAGGCACTGTTGATTTATGGACTGTTTTAAGGACTAAGATTCAGACTTAGAAATAAGGGGAAAAAATAGGGGGTGATTATTAGAACATATATCTTAAAATAGATTAAGAATGTAATTGGTGGAATAATAGGTTTATTTTGATGATAATTATTATGTACTAGAATGGAAAAAATGGTGGTCTTTTAGATTTGGATTGTTTCAATAATCAACTGTTTTAAATTAGTGGATGATGTTTTTGTATGATAATATAGATGTGATAAGGCATGATAATCAATCGGATGAAATTTGAAATTTGTTTAATGAACTGAAATGATCTAAAGCTTAATATTATTTTGTTACTTTAATTATATAATGAATTAAAAGTAATCTAGAATATTAAGAATGTATTTTTTAAAACGATAGGTTTATTTGTATGAAAATTATC